AGAGAAGGTCAGTGATCTGGTGGTCAGTGTCATCGTTCACATCAGCGCTCGCAGTTCCGGTGCGTTCTGGTTGCAGAAAAAAAAAAAAAAGTAGAACCGGCTGCATTTTTCCTGCGCAGAACTGTACAGGAATGCAGTAAAACGCATCACAAATGCACCAAAATGCACATGTCCCTATTTACATTGAAAAAGAAAGAGGAAAAAATTAACTGGAATGCATAAAAAATGTACTGGAATGCGTCAACACACTTAAAAATGCGCATGCAAAAACGCATCTGGACTGCGTTTCTATAGTGTGAACCGGCCCTAAATGCAAAAACGTTGTATTTTTGGTTCTATAGACTTCCATGAAGACGCTGCAGAGATGCATGTATTGTGTTTTTGCTGCATTTTGCGTTTTAAATCTGCCTAGCAACAAGAAAAACAAAATTTAAAAAGAAAAACGCAAAGCACATAAAAAACTCTGCAAAAACGCAAAACACACTGCAGAAATGAATCAAACACAGTTTTTGATGCGTTTTTTTTTTTTTTTTTAATTCTTGTTGCTAGGCAGATTTAAAGCACAATACGCATCAAAAAACACGCCACATGCTTTTCTGCGTTTCCATTGTTACAGTGGCTCATAGCCACAACAGGAAGTGAGAGGAAATCCCTGGTGTCACCAAAACTAGTGTACCCATTGGGGAGATTTCCCTTCACTTCCTGTCCCATAGCCACAACAGGAAGTGAGAGGAAATCCTGGCATAGTGGAGGAATCCAGGTGTGTCACCAGTCAATATCAGGATTAGTTAGTGGCAGTTGGTGGCAGGGTCAGTTAGTGGCAGGGTCAGTTGGTGGCAGTTGGTGGCAGGGTCAGTTGGTGGCAGGGTCAGTTGGTGGCAGGGTCAGTTTGTGGCAGGGTCAGTTGGTGGCAGGGTCAGTTGGTGGCAGTTAGTGGCAGGGTCAGTTAGTGGCAGGGTCAGTTGGTGGCAGTTAGTGGCAGGGTCAGTTGGTGGCAGTGTATCAGTCTGTCAGTAGAACATGCGCAGTGTGATTCCCGGGCCGCTCTGCGATCACACAGACGATGCGGTGGCGGTGTGGGGTGGAGGAAATGAACACGTGACGTTTGTTTTGATCCAATCTAAGAACACGCCCTTATTCCCGCCCTCACACTGTGCAGTGATTGGCTATTCGGGCGGGTGAGCGGTTCTAATCCAGTAACAGGTTGGGCCACGTCCGCCAAACTAACCAATCAGGTCATAGCGTTGTTTACCAGACCTGGGATCGGACCGGCCGGGGCTCCGCTCTCACCGATGCTTCGGTGGAAAAGGAACCCGAGCAGAGCGCTCCTCCCCCGACTCCTCCTCCTGCTGGGCGCCGTGTGCCGGGGTGAGTGGGGAGCCCGCACCGTGCGCCGCATTTATTACCCTTCCTATACGTCAACTCCGCCCACTCCCCCGGTACCGCCCACTCTAGACACTATGTATAGGTAGCTATCTGATGTGACCCCGCCCCCGTGTATAGAGCCCCGCCCACTGTGTCGACCACTCGCCCGATATATACTCGATTTATATAGACCACCGATACCCTCAGTGGGAGGGGCTGAGGAGACGATTGTGTGATTGGTAGGAATGTAGATGGGCGGTGTCGATTTTTCCGAGATAGATGATCCTCGGTTCGTGGTGGCGCAGCTCAGTGCGCATCGGTCACGTGTTCTCTCTTGCTGACGGAACCTATTAACCCCTCCCCTTCCTGAGACCCCCCCCCTCCTGAGGATTTCCCCCCCCCCCTTCCTTTTTTTTTTTTTCTAAGTTACGGCTCTGCATTACTTTGACAATTGCGCAGTCATGCAACGCTGCAGCCAAGTTCAATTTACGTCATTTCCCCCCCCCCCCCCCCCCCCCCATGGACTGAGCGTTCTTCCGGAGGTGTTTGATGGCCTGCGCGTGATTTATATTTTGTGCTATACAAAAAAAAAAACAGTTTTGAAAAAAAAAACAATATTTTTTTACATTTTGCGATTAAACACGTCCGGTAAAAAATAAAAATTATAGAAATCCAATTTCGTCATAAATTTTGGCCAAGATGGATAGTTTCCAACATTTCATGAAGCATTTTAGGGGCGCTTTTTTTTTTCCTATATGTTCTGAAAGCCAGTGTAGGGGGAGTGGCAATAAGGGGTGGGGCATTCGTCTATGGGTGTGGCTTAAGTGTAAAAATGCAAAATTGGGTGTGGTGTAAATTACTGTAAATATTGGGCGTGGCTTAAAGGGGGTCTGAGACCGCAAGCGTGGTAGGGGACACGGAACCACAAACCCCGCATTCACTATATCCGCTCTCCCCGGACCCCGCATTCACTATATCCGCTCTCCCCGGACCCCGCATTCACTATATCCGCTCTCCCCGGACCCCGCATTCACTATATCCGCTCTCCCCGGACCCCCATTCGCTATATCCGCTCTCCCCGGACCCCCATTCACTATATCCGCTCTCCCCGGACCCCGCATTCACTATATCCGCTCTCCCCGGACCCCGCATTCACTATATCCGCTCTCCCCGGACCCCGCATTCACCCCGCATACTATATCCGCTCTCCCCGGACCCCGCATTCACTATATCCGCTCTCCCCGGACCCCACATTCGCTATATCCGCTCTCCCCGGACCCCCATTCACTATATCCGCTCTCCTATATCCGCTCTCCCCGGACCCCGCATTCCCTATATCCGCTCTCCCCGGACCCCGCATTGACTATATCCGCTCTCCCCGGACCCCGCATTCCTATATCCGCTCTCCCCGGACCCCGCATTCACTATATCCGGTCTCCCCGGACCCCGCATTCGCTATATCCGCTCTCCCCGGACCCCGCATTCACTATACCCGCTCTCCCCGGACCCCGCATTCGCTATATCCGCTCTCCCCGGACCCCGCACCCCGCATTCCCCGCATTCTATATCCGCTCTCCCCGGACCCCGCATTCACTATATCCGCTCTCCCCGGACCCCGCATTCACTATATCCGCTCTCCCCGGACCCCGCATTCGCTATATCCCCTCCCCGGACCCCGCATTCACTATATCCGCTCTCCCCCGGACCCCGCATTGACTATATCCGCTCTCCTCGGACCCCGCATTCACTATATCCGCTCTCTCCGGACCCCGCATTCACTATATCTGGTCTCCCCGGACCCCGCATTCACTATATCCGCTCTCTCCGGACCCCGCATTCACTATATCCGCTCTCCCCGGACCCCGCATTCACTATATCTGGTCCCCGCCCCGCATTCACTATATCTGGTCTCCCACAGTACACACAACATGGAAATGCAATTATTTTAGTAAATATAAACTGATAAATCCCTTTTCCCATCAGCAGTATAGAGCAGTTTTGTGATTTCGCAGTGTCCAGTAGAGCACTGGGTGAAGCTTGTAGGATGAGTTTTCATTCTGCTCTAGGTGATGCAGGACCCCTGACCTTCTGTCTGTACAGTGCTGCTTGGCCCTGTGCTGATCACATGCACTCTCCCAAAGAAAAAAAAAACTTCTCTAGTAATACACCCTAAACTGAGCATGTGCAGAGTGCCCCCAAGGCTTCAATACTATCAGCAGATGGATTGGGGACAGTACAAGAAGGAGAGGATCAGAGAGGACAGGATTAAACATCCTTTTTACACAATGCATAGGATTAACCCCTTAGGTCCCACAGTGAGTATAACCAGCATGCTTTGCTGCATCTACAGACGGGGGTCACTGCAGGGGGTTCAGGAACACTGTAAGGCTGTAATTATGTAACTCTTGGAAAAGTAAAAATGTGTCAGTGAGCTTCAATATGGGAACACTGGTCTCCTATGTATCTATTACTATGAGGAATGGAGACAGGAGGTGATGGAGACAGGAGGTGACGGAGGAATGGAGACAAGAGGTGATGGAGGAATGGAGACAGGAGGTGATGGAGACAGGAGGTGACAGAGGAATGGAGACAGGAGGTGATGGAGGAATGGAGACAGGAGGTGATGGAAACAGGAGGTGATGGAGGAATGGAGACAGGAGGTGATGGAGGAATGGAGACAGGAGGTGATGGAGACAGGAGGTGACGGAGGAATGGAGACAGGAGGTGATGGAGACAGAAGGTGACGGAAGAATGGAGACAGGAGGTGACGGAGGAATGGAGACAGGAGGTGATGGAGGAATGGAGACAGGAGGTGATGGAGGCGGGGGGGATAGAGGGACAAAGACAGGAGGCGATGGAGGAATGGAGACAGGAGGTGATGGAGGCAGGGGGGGATGGAGGGACATAGACAGGAGGTGATGGAGGAATGGAGACAGGAGGTGATGGAAGAATGGAGACAGGAGGTGATGGAAGAATGGAGACAGGAGGTGATGGAGGAATGGAGACAGGAGGTGATGGAGGAATGGAGACAGGAGGTGATGGAGAATGGAGACAGGAGGTGATGGAGGAATGGAGACAGGAGGTGATGGAGGAATGGAGACAGGAGGTGATGGAGGAATGGGGACAGGAGGACATAGACAGGAGGTGATGGAGGAATGGAGACAGGAGATGATGGTGGAATGGAGACAGGAGGTGACGGAGGAATGGAGACAGGAGATGATGGTGGAATGGAGACAGGAGGTGACGGAGGATTGGAGACAGGAGATGATGGTGGAATGGAGACAGGAGGTGATGGAGGAATGGAGACAGGAGGTGATGGAGGCAGGGGGGGATGGAGGGACAGGAGGTGATGGAGGAATGGAGACAGGAGATGATGGTGGAATGGAGACAGGAGGTGACGGAGGAATGGAGACAGGAGATGATGGTGGAATGGAGACAGGAGATGACAGTGGAATGGAGACAGGAGGTGACGGAGGAATGGAGACAGGAGGTGATGGAGGAATGGAGACAGGAGGTGACGGAGGAATGGAGACAGGAGATGACGGTGGAATGGAGACAGGAGATGACAGTGGAATGGAGACAGGAGGTGACGGAGGAATGGAGACAGGAGGTGACGGAGGAATGGAGACAGGAGGTGACGGAGGAATGGAGACAGGAGATGACGGTGGAATGGAGACAGGAGATGACGGTGGAATGGAGACAGGAGATGACGGTGGAATGGAGACAGGAGGTGACGGAGGAATGGAGACAGGAGGTGACGGAGGAATGGAGACAGGAGATGATGGTGGAATGGAGACAGGAGGATGATGGTGGAATGGAGACAGGAGATGACGGTGGAATGGAGACAGGAGATGACGGTGGAATGGAGACAGGAGATGACGGTGGAATGGAGACAGGAGGTGACGGAGGAATGGAGACAGGAGGTGATGGAGGAATGGAGACAGGAGATGATGGTGGAATGGAGACAGGAGATGATGGTGGAATGGAGACAGGAGATGATGGTGGAATGGAGACAGGAGGTGATGGGGGAATGGAGACAGTAAGTCTTTATAATCTGTAGATTTGGGGACAGATATTCCGCTGATCCTGGTGGCTACCGGGGATTTCCCTCACTTTTTTGTGGTGGATATGGAGCAGAAATGAAGGGGAGATCTCTCCAGCTGGATATAGGTGGCAAAAACTGATGGAGATCTCTTCATCAAAGGGGGGAACCCGCATACAGCCCTCAGTTCCAGGCCAGATCTCTCCATCAAAGGGGGGAACCCTTATTTCCAGGTTAGAACTCTCCATGGAAGAGGGGAATCTGCATGCAGCCCTCAGTTCCAGGCCTGGCCTCTCCATGGAAGGGGGGAACCTTCATACAGCCCTCAGTTCCTGGCCAGACCTCTCCATGGAAGGGGGGAACCTTCATACAGAACCCTGAGTTCCTGGCCAACCTCTCCATGGAAGGGGGGAACCTTCATACAGCCGTCAGTTCTAGGATTGACCTCTCCATCGAAGGGAGGAACCCTCACACAGCCCTCAGTTCCAGGCCAGATCTCTCCATTGAAGGGGGGGAGCCCTCATACAGTCCTCAGTTCCAGGCCTGACCTCTCCATGGAAGGGGGAAACCTTCATACAGTCCTCAGTTCCAGGCCAGACCTCTCCATCAAAGTGGGGGACCCGCATACAGCCCTAAGTTCTAGGACAGATCTCTCCATGGAAGGGGGGAACCTACATACAACCCTCAGTTCTAGGCCTGACCTCTCCATGGAAGGGGGAAACCTTCATACAGCCCTCAGTTCCTGGCCAGATCTCTCTATCGAAGGGGGAAACCTGCATACAGCCCTCAGTTCTAGGACAGATCTCTCCATGGAAGGGGGCAACCTACATACAACCCTCAGTTCTAGGCCTGACATCTCCATGGAAGGGGGAAACCTTCATACAGACCTCAGTTCCTGGCCAGATCTCTCTATCGAAGGGGGGAACCTTCATACAGCCCTCAGTTCCTGGCCAGATCTCTCTATTGAAGGGGGGAACCTTCATACAGCCCTCAGTTCCTGGCCAGATCTCTCTATCAAAGGGGGGAACCTTCATACAGCCCTCAGTTCTAGGCCTGACCTCTCCATGGAAGGGGGGAACCTTCATACAGCCCTCAGTTCCTGGTCAGATCTCTCCATCGAAGGGAGGAACCCTCACACAGCCCTCAGTTCCAGGCCAAACCTCTCCATGGAAGGGGGGAACCCTCATACAGTCCTCAGTTCCAGGCCAGACCTCTCCATGGAAGTGGGGAACCTACATACAGCCCTCAGTTCTAGGCCTGACCTCTCCATGGAAGGGGGAAACCCTCACACAGCCTTCAGTTCTAGGCCTGACCTCTCCATGGAAGGGGGGAACCCTCATACAGCCCTCAGTTCCAGGCCTGACCTCTCCATGGAAGGGGGGAACCTACATACAACCCTCAGTTCTAGGCCTGACCTCTCCATGGAAGGGGGAAACCCTCACACAGCCCTCAGTTCTAGGCCTGACCTCTCCATGGAAGGGGGAAACCCTCACACAGCCCTCAGTGCTAGGCCTGACCTCTCCATGGAAGGGGGAAACCCTCACACAGCCCTCAGTTCCAGGCCTGACCTCTCCATCGAAGGGGGAAACCTTCATACAGCCCTCAGTTCCAGGCCTGACCTCTCCATTGAAGAGGGGAACCTGCTAATTGACTAGTTTGTATGTGGCCATAGCGCAAAGCGCTGTCCTGTTTTTGCTTGAGCCTCTTTTTGTTTTGGGGGTTTTTTTTTGGGGGGGGGGTTGTTTTGTTGTTTTGTTTTGTCTTTTTAGCCAAAGGAAGGCTGGTTGTTATGGGAGAAAAAAAAAATGCCAAATGTGCGTTTTCATGAGGAGTTAACACAGCAGTGTATCGGGGCTAAAAACGCCGGAAGTGTGTAACTAAAAACAAATGCAACTGACAAGCGCCAGATTTTGGATGTTACGCTTTTTGGAGTTGGAGATGTGAATGGGGCCTAATTGTCCTAATTGTCCTTCCTCTGTTGTCAATGGGCAAAAATCATAGCTACTTACCATCCCTGATTTCGAGGGACCATCCCTGATTTCGAGGGACCATCCCTGATTTCGAGGGACCGTCCCTGATTTCGAGGGACCGTCCCTGATTTTGAGGGACCGTCCCTGATTTCAAGGGACCATCCCTGATTTCGAGGGACCATCCCTGATTTCGAGGGACCGTCCCTGATTTCGAGGGACCGTCCCTGATTTCAAGGGACTGTCCCTGATTTGGAACAAAGTCCCTCTGTCCCTCCTACCTCCTCATTGGTACCTCATTTCGGTCTGTTCTCTATAGTTGTATATAAGATCTACTAATTAAACTGTTAAACCTTTCATCCGATTTCTAATTTGCTGCATTTGTAGATTTCAAAAGCCA